AGTGCCCCAGGGGAGGGGGGGCGTCACTCAATAGAAAAAAGTAAAATAAAAATAAAAAAGTGAGAGTGACGCGAGGGGATGATAGCGGCACTCAGTGTCGTTGGGTCCCCCTCGCGTCACTAAATGACCCCCATTCGTAAATAGCTTTAACCCAATACCAAATTGATAAATTAAAGAAATAAACACCCCTAGTGGGTGAAAGAGCCGTTATCAGATGCCTATCTATCTCCTCAGAATACTCCTACCAAACGCCCCCTTACTTACATCACTTTCCCATGATTTCCAACAGAAGCTACATACCTAGGGGCTATTTGATAGGGTGGCAAAAAAAAATTGGCAAGGAAAATAGGGTAGGACAAATAATATGGCAATGTTTGGTAGGAGGATTAGGAAAAAAATGGATGGGAAAAAAACCTCACTATGTATCTCTTTTAAACATGAGATGCTTGGGAAATTTTGCCACCCATGGAGTGGTTACTTTTTTTTCCTTTTCCGTGGCAAATAAATGACGATTTGATGTGATGAAAATGCCCTAAAGTCGATTTATCAAACCTCACCTATTGAGCCTAGACGAACACAGTTGAAGCACAAGGGATAGACTAACACAGTTGAAGCACAAGGGATAGCAGAGAAAGATATCAACGTGAAGAGAGAGAGAGACACGCAAGATAACATTTTGTATGAGAATCAAATTCAATTTTCAAATTTGAGGGTTATTTTGTAATTTTGCTACACTTTTCCATCAAAATTTTACAATCGTCCAAACATAATATCAGTAAAATTCACTTAACTTTCCCGGTAAAAAAAATTTCTAACTTTTTTTTAGAAAAATATTTGTTCCTGGTAAAAAAAAAACTTCTTCTGTACCAAACACCCCCTTAAGCATTTAAATTTGTCCTTGCACATAATTTAACAAATAAAAATAATATTTATTATTTATTTTTAAAGTAGAATTTAAGATGTGTATCATCCTTTACCCAAAAAGAAAAAGACGTATATCAGTGGCGGACTTGTGTATGTTTTAGTACAAATTTTTTGAAGAAAAAAATAAAATAAAATATATTTTGGGTCATCAACAAAAATTACAGGATCTAATTTAATCTCTTAAAAAAAGTTGACTCGTGATCACTTTAAATTCCAAAATAGACCCATATTAGTCCTTTTGAGGAATTAATGTGAGCCTTTTTGAATTTCAGAGGACCATAATTTTGATTATCTGGGTCTATTTTTAAATTCTGAGGGATCACGAGTAGACTTTTTTCCCTAAGAGATTAGATTGAAGCCCGTAATATTGTTGAGGACCCAAAATGTTCAATTGTAACAGTTTAATTGACTATTGATTATTTTTTTTATATTAAGTTAAAGTTTTTTTTTTATATATTTTTTTGTATTTTAATATATTTAAAATTTTCTTTAAATTTTTTTCTTTATTATTTTATTCTAAGTGTGCAGACATTAAATTTTTTTTCTAAATCCGCTATTGCTCATATAGTAAAAAAGTAAAATTGTTTACCAAAAAAAAAAATATATCATCAAAACTTCAGCAACCTAAGCATAGGAACTCCACAGGAATCGTGTCCGGGAAAAGCACGGCCAGCTTGGACCTATTATGGCCCAAAATAAGATGGTAGCTTCTTTTGTGTGTGTGTTTTTTTTTTTCTTTCTAAAAAATGAAAAAAAATAATCTTTTATTTGAATGAAGAAAAGTGTAGAAGGTAAAAAAACAAAAAAAGAAAAGAAAAGAAAAAAAGTCAGAGCAAGATCTTGACTTCTCAAACCTCTTATGGTTACAAAATTTCAAAACCATTCTTTTTTAAGAAAAAAATAATGTTTCAACATCCAGTCTAAACATAACTTAAAATTCCAGGAGTATAAGAATGAAGCAAGAATAGGAAAAAAAAGAAAAAGAAAAAGAAAAAAGGAAAAGGGAAATATCAAGTTCTTTTTGCATTTGCCCTGCTGAAGGTATTTCAAAATGCAAAGACTGGAAAGCTCCCAAAAAGTAGATGCGGCTGAGATCTTTCATTTCCGAAGCTGAAATTTATTGCTCCATCAACGGAATTTAGGGAATAAGCTATACCTTCTTATAATGTATCAGGCATTTGCACCCAAAAACCAAAGCGTATTTTTAGATATCATATTAGCCTATTATTGCAATTGCATCCTGGCACAATATAGCTTTATCTCGACGCCATGGGTCCCAAGAAAAGAAAATAAAAGTCCTCTTGATTGAAGTTCCAATTCTTATGTGATAGTTTTCTTAATAAGTGTGTAGTCTAGGGTTATGTTTATCTCATTTTACATAAGATAAATAATTTTTCTTCACACACAAAAAAGGGTTGGTCCTACCATTTTTTTTTTCTCCTCTTACCTGTGAGTCTCACTTATAATTTTATTTTTATAATATGAGATAATTATTTTCCTACAACATAAATTTTTTTTTCCAAGTATGTATTGTGTATATAATATTGAAAAAAAAGTTCATTGCTTGAGCTGTTGAAAACATGCAATCCATTCTTCCAGTCTACAACTTCTCATGGGCCCATAAGAACATCTATTAATTTTGGATTTGAAAATTCGGGAGTATATATCGCACTAAAACATTGACCTTTGAATATTTAATTATGTAGATTCAGTACTCCAGTTGAACCCTATTTCTCGACCAAGTCACTATCCACCAAGTGTTTGGTTCGGGGAAAAAAAAAATTATTAGAGGAATATAATTAATAGGGATTTAGTTGCAAAGTGAGTTTGGTAGGAAAATGTAAAAAAAGTTGTTTGGTTGATCCAAATATTACCAGGGAAATTTATTTAAATATGCAAAATCTATGTTCGGGAGAAACTTTGCACCTGTTTTTTCACTTCTCCAATTATCTCAAAATACCACATCACAAGTGGTATACTGTAACAGTGAATTTCATCCAAAAATCAACACAAAAGTCATTTTTCCATCTATCTTATTTGCCTGGTATTTTTTGAAAAAACCTGAACCAAACGTGGTATTTTTCAATATCCACTTACACTTTCCCATCAATCTCAAAATAAACCTTCAACCAAACACTACCTAACTCAAAATGATTAATCTTCGATCTCAAAATATTTATTATTTATTCATTATATTAAAAGCTTATTTTGAAGAGATAGGATATTGTAACAATCAATTAGTGTTATTATCAATGTTACTACCAATCAATTTCACCGTTAGATCAATTATGTTGATCAAACGATTATATTTATTTCCATCTTTATATGCTTATGATTTTCTATATTTAATACTTTATATTCATAACCATATAAAGATGAAAATAAATATAATCGTTGGATCAACATAATGAAAATAAAAGCAACCATTGAATCAACATAATTAATCTAATAGTGAAATTTATTGATAATAATACTAATTGATTGTTACAATATCCTTGGCTTTTTGACCCTTATAACCCTTTACTAATAATTAATTACCAAATTGACCTTCATTATAAACTATTTCAAAAATTTAACCCCCTCAAAAAACAAAACACCAATCTGCTCTTGTTTGACCGTTGACCACCAAGCCTACCCGGGTACACCCCTCCCTACCCGGGTACAAACCCGGGTAGGGAGGGGTGTACCCGGGTATTGTTCTTGATTTTTTGAATTATTTACCCGGGTAAAGATGAGTGTACCCGGGTAAATCTTCTTCTTATTAACCCACAATGATTCAAACACGTATTGTGCCAATGCCTGCGGTTCCTCGAAAGCATTTCTAGATAAGTTAATTAGGTAGATGCTTAGTAAAAAAAAAAAAAGTAAAGAAATGAACACTAACGCTGTTCATGGAAACCATAAAGAACGAGAAACGAACAACGTGTGGCAAGTAATTAAGTAATGAATCACTAATCACTAAAATAAAGAACATTTACCCGGGTACACTCATCCCTACCCGGGTACATAATTCAAGCAATCAAGAACAATACCCGGGTACACTCCTCCCTACCCGGGTATACAAAAAATTTCAAAAAATACCCGGGTAGGGAGGGGTGTACCCGGGTAGGCTTAGTGGTCAACGGTCAAACATGGACAGATTGGTGTTATGTTTTTGAGGGGGGTTAAATTTTTGAAATAGTTTATAATAAAGGTCAATTTAGTAATTATTTATTAGTAAAGGGTTATAAGGGTCAAAAAGCCCAATATCCTTTCCTCATTCTGAATATGATTTCTTTACAAGGAAAATAGCATCTTCTGTGAAAAAAAGTTAATAGACTCATAAGTAATTAAATCAAAATTTGACATATATAATTACACAAATCATAATCAAAATACACTTATATTTAAAAATATATCTATGCATATCGTTATTAAAATATCCGCCGGCAAAAAACATTTTATCAAATATGACGACTTTGTATATCCGATTCCGATTCAAATACGATTTCCATTATCATTTGCAAACCCATTTTATTTTGTCTTAAGCCCATTTTATTTTTCAAATACCAACAGCTTTAAAGGATCTCGAGTAAATATCATTTTCAGTCCTCAGCAAATTTTATGATACTCACTTTAGTTCCTAGCAAATAAAAGGCTATTTGTGGTCCTTAAAAAATTTAAAGTGACCTCATTTTACTCCTTTTAAAGGACTAATGTAGATCTTTTTTAAATTTATGAAGGCCCATAATTTCAACTAAACGAGTCTATTTTGAATTTTTTACCTTTTTATTTGCTAGAAACTAAAACGAGCATCGTAAAATTTAATTGCCGAGCAAAATGGATATTTACTCAAATATCTCTCTATGTTCCCCTTCACTTCTTTTTTTGTCCTTCAAATCTCACTAAATATTTTTTTTTTGGATATTAAATCTCACTAAATATTGGTTGCGCTGCCAATTCTCACATTCTTATACATCATTTGACAAAATCAAACCACCTTCGACACCTTCCCTTAAAACCCAAGATTCCCTCTTGCTTATTAGAAATTTTTCAGTCTTGCATGTTACATGGTACATAACATTGCTATTGCCTATTACTATATATTATTATTAATCTATCTCTTTCCGTTACACAGAGACACACAAATCTTATTATATATTGATGCAACACATATAGGAAAGAGGTAAAAGTAGCAAAATGAAGAACCGGTATTCATTGCCGGAGAGACGGTGGTTCCTGGGGTTGGTCATAGTAGGGTTGATAGGAGCGGCGCTGATCATAGCCACCGTGACCCGAAACTCCGACAGCTCGTTGCCGTGTTCATTTTCGTTTGGGATCCGAACCCGAACCCGAATGGATGAGGATTATAACCCGACATCGATTCAGTTGAGGGCAATACTCCACTACGCCACGTCGCGCGTGGTCCCACAACAATCGGTGTCGGAGATCAAGATAAGCTTGGATGTGCTGAAATCACTGGGTCGTCCTTCCAAGTTTCTCGTCTTCGGACTCGGCCACGACTCGCTCATGTGGGCATCGTTCAACCCAGGTGGCACCACGCTATTCCTCGAGGAGGACCCTAAGTGGGTCCAAACCATTCTCAAGGACGCGCCTAGCCTACGCGCCCACACCGTACGGTACAGGACACAGCTTCGCGAGGCCAACGCGCTCCTCTCCTCGTACCGCTCCGAACCCGCGTGCTCGCCGTCGAAGGCTTACCTGCGAGGCAACGAAGCGTGCAAGCTGGCGCTACAGAATCTACCGGACGAGGTTTACGAGACGGAGTGGGACATGATAATGATCGACGCGCCCAAAGGGTATTTCGCGGAGGCTCCGGGGAGAATGGCCGCCGTGTTCTCCGCCGCCGTCATGGCGAGGAACAGGAAGGGATCGGGTGTGACGCACGTGTTCTTGCACGATGTGGATCGGAAGGTGGAGAAGGTTTACGCTGAGGAGTTTCTTTGTAAGAAGAACTTGGTTAAAGGTGTTGGAAGGCTTTGGCACTTCGAGATACCACCCTCCTCTAACAATGCCACCAACGGTGATCGTTTCTGCTAGATTCATTACAACACTCACAGTCACAATTACTATTCATCAATTTTGTATTTGCCTTTTTTTTTTTTTTTTTCCTTCTTCTTTTTTTATGATAGAACAACGGATTTATGATTTTTTATTACAACATTATGTTTTCTTATTGTACTTTTTTTTTTTTTTTGTTATTGAAAAATATGGGGACAGAAAGAATCACCGGCTCATGGGATTGCAGGTGCTGCCATGGCCACTGCATGCACCCTTTGCCGACAGGGAAATAAATATTTTCTTTTTATTGGGAAGCTACGAAGGTTCCTTCTTAGAGCTTACTCAAATGAATTGATGAGTGTGGTGTTATGGTGAGTGATAAATGAATTTTTTTTCTAAGTGGTAATTGTGATGGGAGTGCTATATGAAAAAATGTTGATGCGATTAAAAATGGTCATGTGATCATATTATTTGATTACAATCATTCATTCATGATGAAATAAGAAAAAAAAAATATATAATTTATAAATGAGTAACTATAATAAAATAACATGATCACTTTTTTTTTTTGATAACAACATGATCACTTTTTCACATACGAAAGAACTGGTACGGAGCACGCAAAAATTTCCGCACTCCCAATTGTTATTCATATTTAAATGATGAGTAGATCATGCAAGTTGCAACCGTTTCACAATACATTGCTATTCATATTTATTTATTTATTTTTAAATTTTGAAACAAAAGTAGATATTTTATATTTTCACCTCATTTGGAACGGGTTGTCTAACAAATTTCATGTTATTCTGTATAGTTTTAACTTATATTAATTAAAAATAATTGTTTATATTAATAACTATTTTAAAAGATAAATTTATTTTAATAATGTGAAAAAAATTACTCAAATAAATCCATACTGTAAACCATAAAGAAACTGAAACTATACCAAACAAAATATAAAACTTGACGAAGTTATGATTAAATAGAGATTTTTTTTTTGTCCTTTATTGGGTGAATAATATAGAATTGGTTATGGGAGCAATGCATAGGAAAATGATACTCTGTCACCTTACCCTCTGGTTGGTTTTGGTAATTGTCTTCTATCTTAGTGTTAGACAAGTGTCATCGGCAAATACACCCGACTGTTTAATTTGACCACGGGGTATGAGTGGCTATGTTAGAAAGGTCCAACCCTAAAACTCCACCAAGAAAATCATCGAATGTATTAAAAAAATAAAAAGAAAAAGAAAAAGAAAAAGAAAAAAAGAAAATCATCAAAGATATAACCATCCGTTGTTTTTAATTAGTTTTGGGATCAGGTACCAAATTTCGTTCAATTTTTTTTATAACTTCATTTTTTTGTGGTTATTCTATTATAATAAGTAGCTATTAGATAATCAAAATATGCACCACCAAAATAAAATATGATAAATACAATTACAGTTAATGATAATTCTCAATTTTTTTTATGTGTTTGGTGTTTGTCATCTTAAATGACATAAGTTATGTCATTTATGTCATTTTAAGAGAGATAGACACAAAGAATGAAAATCACAGGGAGAAAGTGGATGTTTTTTTTAATTTAAATTTTAAATAAAAAATATTATTTTATTTCTATCTCTCTCTTAAAATGACATAACTTCGTATCATTTAAAATGACAAACATTTTTCTCTATTTTTATATATATAAAATACGAAAAAAGTATTTGTCATTTTAAATGATATAACTTTGTGTCATTTTTAATGAAATTACATCATTTTTTTGTGTTTTTGCATTCTCTTTCCTCCACCTTCTTTTTTTTCTAATTTTATAAAAATAAAAATGTAAAAAATATCAAAATCACGTAGTTTCGTTAAAAATGACACAAAGTTATGTCATTTAAAACGACAAACACTTCATCCAAATAATAATTCTTCACATTATTCTATTAATATATAATGTAATCTTATAAGCATAAAATATTTTGTATTTCAATTTGGATATGCGTTTTGATTATCTAACATTTCCTCTTATTCTTACCAAAAATTAAAAATAACAACACATTTAATTTTCTGTTAGAAACTTAGAACTTTCACAGCAATAAAAAAAAAGAAAAAGAAAAAAAAGGTTGAATTTAGTAGCGAGGACGCAAGCCAAGAAGACCTTCGCACTCCACTTATAACAAAAGATATATCTACGACATCACTAAAAAGAAAAAAGAAAAAAAGGCCATAAATGGTACAGGGGATGACGATCCTTTGAACCGCAGAGACATCCCAACCCTCAAAACATTTTATTTTATGATAAAAGATAATAATTTTTTTTCTTCATAAATGTGGATTATTAAATGAAGAATTGAAATTCTTGCAATTGTTTTTAGAAAAGGTTCTATTTCTCTCATGTTATTGGAGATAAATATCACATATCATAGACACATGATATGATGTGAACCATCACCCATTAAAAAGAAAAAGAAAAAGAAAAAAAATTGTGCCACAACTTTTGATGTGAGAGTGGCATACTGGTATGAGATAATTATCTCATATAAAATGAGACAATAATTTTTCTTTTAAAAATATGGTAAATCCTCATCCTAGTACCTGTTGTACCGATATAATACGGGATATGGAATAACACGACATGATATTCTGACATATTAATTCTAAAAAATACTAAATTTTAATATATTAAGACATGCTTTGATATTAAATAATATTTTTAATTTATGTAATGTATATTATATTTAATATTTAATAATTTAACAAAAAAATAAAGCTAAATTTATAATACAATAAATTTTGCAAAGAAATATAACATATCCCAAATATTTATATTAAACTCAATAAAATAATAATCGTAATTCAATAAATTTAATAGTTGAAACAAAAAATGCAACATTTAAATTCATTTTTGAATCTCTGTAATACACGTTGAAGTGTCAGAAAGTTTAAAAATATGAAATATTATTAGACACGACATGTTAATTTTTTTGAAATACCAATGCATCGTATATAATAAATACTTCCCAAGTTTCAAAAGTGAATAAATAATTTTTAAACGGGTATTAATCAGTTAAAAGAAGTGCGGAGTACCTTTGATGGATGTGACTTGGAATGTTTGATAAAGACAATATGATTGGGAAAAAAGTGACAATTTTTAAAATTTTAGCTGAAACCAAAATTCATTACCGGTTTCATTTGCTTTCCTTCCATTTAAAAAATGATAACTCAAACCAAGATCAAACAGAAATTATACAGTTTGGGTGCTATTTGATTTCTCAACCTAGAATAGGACTTTTAAAAAAGAAAAGGAAATGGAAAAAAGAGACAAAATGTAAGAAGAGATATTTTGCTGGTTAAAGATGCCAATCGTGGCAGAAGAGTAAGGTATGGTTGAAAGTTGGAACACACCCGTCACGATTCTCCTCCTCTCATCCACTTCAACTTTATACTCGGAAATGATTTTTATTTTCGGGTCAGAAACAGAAAAGATAGCTTACCGAAAACTTGGAAAGAGAGATTGTTTTTCTCAAATAGCTACCCGTTCAAGGAAAAAAATTTCAGTAGTCATGTAATATATACTCTTCTGATATGTGAACTCATGTGCTATTATAAATAAAGTAAATAAATCCACTAGGATTAGCCTAGTGGTGGGGTGTGTGAGTTAGGTATATGTAGTGTAAGGGTGTGTGTTTAATTCCCATATAATGTAAAAAGATAAATAAAGTAAATAATATAAACATAATTAGGTGAGTCATGTGTTTCTAATCTTAATGACTGTAATGACAACTCCAGTAAGTCAAGAATGATGAAAGTTTAGTCCAGTTTAAGACATAACGGTTTACGTTCATTAAATAGTAAAGATTCTTGTCAACATATAAAAAAAATGAAATTAATATATGGCAGTCTGAGGAAATTGCTCCATCCTAACCGCTCTATTAGCTGATTATCATATTAAGAGATTAAGAGACAGGGTGGAGGCAGCGCACACCAGCACACACATGTATCTACGCTATGAAATATAAGAGATGTTTTTACGACTGTACTTCTCCAATTGTTTTAATACACTCAACGAGTGAAAGATTAAAAAACTAGACCATGGTAATTAAAATCTCAATTTAAATCTGTGCTTTTATGACTTTTTTTAATCAAAATGATTTCATCAAAATTCCAAACACTTTTACACTTTTACGATTTTTTTATATTAAGATTTTACGTTTTATGATTTTTTATCGACTTTCTGATTTTAGGTAAGATCCCAATTTTAGCTACCATGAACTAGACTAATCTGCAATCAAGGTACCAAACCGGACATCTACCACTAACCACATTCAAGTACTTTCCCTAGAAAATAATGTCTATATTATTTTTTATAACTAATGGTAACATATCATGCTTACATATTCATAAAATACAGAAGAGATCTAATTTAAACCATTATTACATCTGATGACAATGATATCAGGGACTAATCAAAGAACAAAATCAGCCTAACTACTCGAAAGCAGGCATGGTTATACATCCCTTGGAAACACTGCATTCTATACAAAATCTAACAGACTACAAAAAATATTTCATCCGGTCATCCCTCCTCATGGCATTATATACAGCTTGGACCTGAAAAATACAACAAAATTCCATATCAAGGAATATTAACCCAAGATCATTTGCATGGGGACACAATCTACTATCTAACAGATGGAATCTCAAGTTCTTTTATGAATAAATACATGTTTAACAATAACAAGGTAGAAAGATTTAACCTAATAGAGAAAAAGAAGGGAAGAAGACAGAAAAACCTGTTCACTGGAAACAACTTGGATAGGCCCAATGTTTACGGACACATATTTGCCCCGAGCTGATAACTTCTGCTTCACACGTCCCTGTAACAAATATGTTAAATTTTTTGAAAGATGAACATCAACCACCAAATAAAAGTGTAGATGTAAAATATTAATGAGTAAATCAGGCAATATTCTACACTCTTCCTGCAGCAAACTCTTGAAGGCAATCACAGCCTGAAGGAAAAAATAAATTATACTTCAAAAAACAAATTCAATTAAAGCTCACTACATACTTTATGAGAACAATAACTGGCTAGTAATGAACTCAGAGTCGGTCCGTTTTGCAAGTCCTTACTTATGATGGACTACTTCACTAGTCCTCATAGTGTTCATGTTCTTTTAAGGAGCGATCAAATTCATTGCAAGCGTTTGTCACCGACAAGGGCACTATCATCAATTTTAATTTTTAACTATCATCACTATATATTTTATGTGATCAATAACTGGTTGGTAATAAATTCAGAGTAGGTCTGTTTTGCAAGTCCTTTCTTATGATGGACTACTTCACTAGTTCTCATATCTGCACCGCATTACTATAGTAGGTATTTTGCATAAAGCAGTGGTAAAAAAGCATCCTACCGTTGGTCATCCAGTCCCAAATTCTCAATCATCTTGAGTGAAACAAAACTCAAATACAATTAAAGGCTAGCCTAAAGTTTGCTTATTTTGGGACAGTAATTCATCAATTACCATAAAAAGATTAGAGAATAAAAGTAATTTTTAGATCCAGTCACAAGAAAACAAGCAAATCTGTCCAACCTTTGGGCTGATGCTGACTTCTAGGTTTATGCTTCAGCTCAAGAAGTCTCTCTGAATGTGTGTGAATGTATGCGCATGTTGTGCGCGCATGTAAGAGATAGGAGCAAGATACTTTTCAGGAGTATACGCGGATGATAATTATTAAGTTTGAGCCACACCTATCCGATATAAGCATAACTGAACTCTCTGAAAAATGTATATACTTTCCTTCCCTTTGAGCAACTTGCAGAAGAGATTTTACGGACCATTCACAGCTCATATTGGCAACTAAGAGCACATGCTTAAAAGTCTTTTCAATATGTTAAACCTTGTGATCAAAGTCCATCATAATGCAGGGTCATGTGTAGTTCCTTTGTCCTAATTTAAGCATGACCCTTCATAAGGTCCTCTATTTACAGATAGATTTCAAGCTTCTTACTTCAATGACAAAATCTAAAATAAGTTGTTTAGCAGCACGATAATAGTTAAGAATTATTATAACTATTGTTAACAGCTCAGCAAACTCACAAGCCAGACCTATTTAGTTGATAGATGTTCACGGGCAATCTTAGAACCAAAGCAACAAAACTATGAAAATCAAAAGTTGCAACCGCCCACACTGGACTTATAAAGGTACTTGTAAAGATAGTGATCAGTTAGTTACCTAGGGTGTGATAGATGTATTATAGTGTTAATACAATGATACAGAGCTAATTCAGCAACAATTTTAAAGCACCGAGACCAACAAGAAAATGTAATTCCCCCCATCACAATCATCGCAATTAGTTGTTTTCTTTTTGGGTATTTGTTTTCTTTCATTTGACAATCAAACAGAAGGTATAGTTCCACTTCGAAATCCTATTTTTCAAGCTCAGAAAACAGTATGTTACCCACCAATGAGCATCACGTAAAGTTCAAGAAGCAGCCAAGTTACACAAGAAGTTAGATTGAAGCAACACTATACACAAAATTAACCTTACAATAATAACAACAAATAAACCATGATATATTAGATATGCACACGTTACAGGTTCAATTACCAATACCAATACAATCACCACTGGCCATATTTGTATAGTAACGAGTGTGTTGGGTAATTCTATAATCTATTGCATCAATCAGCAAATTTTTCCAATAAATAGGACCAATTTCTAAATTTGCAGTGTGTCAATATATATATACCTGAGGAATTGGCTGTTGTATTACAGATTCCACGGCAACAACCATGGCTTGCACGAAGTCCTCACCTCCTGTTCCTATTGCCGTAAACCCTCTCACTGTTGGGTATGAGTTCACCTGTGCAGCACATTATAACACACAAAACAAGTATTGTGATAAAAAGACATAAAAGTTGAAAAATATGATAAGGTGCATACATCATAAACATGATAATAAACACAAGAATTAGAAGAAGCCATTAAATGCAAACAGAAAAAAAAAAAAAAAAAACTTAAAAGGAATCAATGAGTTGAATAATGAATGAAATACCTTCTGGTCCAAAGTAAGCCATTCATTGGTAGAATCATCTGTAACAGTGCCTCCAATAACCATGTTCGTAGTTTGGCCAACCCTACCTTCTGTCTTAGACACCTCTGTAACCATTCATTAACAAATCAAAGACAGTTTTAATTTTTTTCATTTAAAGCTCGTTACATGAAAATTAAGCATAAATTTAAATTAAATTGTTGAGTAGAGAGAATAACCTGAAATGGCTTTCAACACTGCTTCTTGAGGGGGACCTTGATCGTCCTGAAACGACGTCGTTTCGTTGTAAGAACAACGTAGAGCTCCTCCTTTGGCACGGTGAAATGGGCGAGCCCTAACGGTTTTGCAGCGCGAGTTTCCTCTGTTTTTGGAATTAAAATTAAAACGAAGGGATTCGAATTGTAAAGGTTCAACAAGAATAGCGGAACGAAGCATGCTCCTGCACGCCATTTTTCTCTGACTATTCTGCTTTGCCCTGAAACAAATAAAGAAGCATGTTCATCAACCCCTGAGAACAGAGATTTTTCGATAAGGACCGAATTGAATTGTCACTAATGCCCTTGCTATAGGTGTTGTTCTAAGGATCTTTTTGACTTTTTAGCCCCAATTGAATAACTTTTTATTTCTTTTATAAAATTTCCTTTTAAAATTTTTTTTGGGTATGATATTGTTATAACAATTAGTATTACTATCGATGATACTGCCAAATAATTTTACCCTTAAATCGAATATGTTGATCTAACTATTATATTTATTTTTATTTTTGTATGGTTAAGATTTTTCATATTTAATATAAAATTATTAAATACGAAAAATCATAATCATACAAAGGTAAAAATAAATATAAAATATAAAAAATTATAACCATACAAAAATGAAAATAAATATAATTGTTGAATGAATATAATCGATCTGACGGTAAAATTGATTGACAGTAACATTAACAATAACATTAATCTTTTCAAAAAAAAAAATTAATATTAATTGATTATTATAATATTCTTCCCAAATTTTTAAAAATAGAATTTAAAATAAAAGTTAAAATATTTTTTTTAACTAAGGGTTGATTGCTTTTGAAAAAAAAAAGTAAAAATTAAAAAATAATATAATTTTTTAAAAATGTATCTTTATCGTGGTTCTATCATCGTCATTATCTCTCGTTATCCCACTATTATGGTTTTTTTTTAATAGCTAAAAGTCTCCCAACAACCAAGAGACAGAGCAGCATAGCAACTTAGCTTGGGCCAAAAAAATTTAGCCTGTATCAAACTTAAATATGGTTATTTAGCCACATTTAAAACATGATTAATTTTTGAAACAAACCTGCAAATAGCTACGTTGATTTAGCCACCTTTAAAACGTGGCTAATTTTTAAAATTAGTCCAGGCTAAGGCCCCACCCTGCCCTAATGTGGTTTTGCTGCTACTACAACAACCTATCACTTTAGAATCAAACATCTCTTGGTTTTCATCTCTTCTTCAAGGTACAATTTTGTTTAATCTCTCTGCTCATTCCACAATTGCTATTTTATAATCCTATGCTTCATGTTTGGTATTTGGTCTTCATTTTTTTTCAACCGCTTTCAAAAAAAGTTGGCCATGTTATAAAAAATAGTATTGTATGCGAATATTTAAATTTAAGGGGTCTAATCTGAATATTGTGAATAACCTACCACGAAGTGTGCAAAACAAGGTAGAGGATCTTATAAAATATGACCAACTTTGATCGACCATTAAACTCAATTTGCCATCATTTGGGTAAGCATTTCCTCTTCATAATTATATACGACGAAAGGATTCTTCTGACATAAATATGCTTGAAGTATTTGAGAATATCAACGAGTTTGAAGCAAATAACGATGATCCAAGAGAAGGTGTATTGGAATGGCTAAGTGCAGAATCAATTACATTAATGAAAGAAATAAGAGATGAAATTAGGAATGAATTATTGGAATATTTCCATGATTGCAATATTTTATTATGATTTTGAATCAATATTACTTTTCATTAGTGGTTTTGAATATTTATTATGTATCATTTAATTTTTAATTTTTTGAGTCATTATCTTTGTATATAATAATTAAATAAAAATTTGTAAAAAGTTTCTTTAATTAAATAATGTAAATGTTTGGATACCAAAAATAAATAAATAATGTAAATGTTTAAATAAATAAAAAATATTACGCCATTGTTATCATAATTACCCGCTAATGAAAACAATTAATCCCCAATAATAAAAACAACATAGGCTCCTGAGTTTGACTAATATGGTATGAAATATCATTCATGGAAAATCATACTGAATAAAACTTTTTTTTTTTTGGAAATACAATGAAAACTAAAAAAAAAAAAAAAAATCCTATACTGGACACAATCTTGGGAGACTAACTCCCCTCAAGTCATTACGAAGCAATTCCAAACAAGTTGTCCGAGGGACATCAAGCACAATCAACTGTCCATCTTGATGAGGGACATGAGTAGCAAGAAAATTGCCTTCTCTATAGGTATGACTAAGCTGAATAATCCAGTCTTTTTGAAGCATGCTACGAGCTCGGATGATTAAAGAAGAAAGAGGATGACTTACCTCACACCCTTTTCTTATAAACTCCAAAGCCACCTTGGAGTCACCCTCTACAAAGACTCTCCTAAATCCCTTATGCCAAGCCAGATCCATACCTGTCAAGAACTCCCAAATTTCCGCTGAAGTAGAAGTACCACTTCCAAGGAATTTTGTAAAGCCAGTTAACCAGTTCCCAGCAGCATCCCTTATGACTCCACCACACGCAGTCTTTTGCCCACCGTCTATGCTGGAACCATCCACATTAATTTTAACATAACCCTCAGAGGAAAAATTTCAGTGTATAAGACGTTCCTCTCTTATGAGCTCCCGATGACCAATCTTAATAAGAGTTTCATTAGCCAATTGAATGTTACCACAAGTGTAGGTAATGCGCCTTTATCCCAATTACCATAACAAGTTACAAATTGAGACGTAGACCAATGAAGCATAATAGCAGGAATAGATTGAACAGCCACAGAAACAAGTTGAGGACATCCTGGAACCCACGAGTCCATCCAAAAAGACGTATGAACCCCATCACCTAAAATGATACGAGAATTCTCTAGAGTTTGAGGCCAATACTTAACAATAGCTTTCCATAATCCAGAATCATTTGCTGAAGCCGAGATGCTTGGAATGAGCCTCTCCTCCACCTTATACTTGCTACGAAGGACCCGAACCCATAGCAAAATACGATCAGTCATGATACAGTGACCTAGCTTCGTGATAAAAGCCATATTATTCTCTTTAATTTTATGATAACCAAGCCCCCCTACATTCTTCGGCAAACAAACTGTCTCCCAAGAAACAGATGAGCTTTCCTTCGTTCAGAAGTTGATCCCCATATGAAATTCCAAGTTACACTCTCAATACGGTCACACGTACCACTAGGAATAATACAAGTTTGCATAGGATATTGAGGAATTGCAGTGAGAACTGACCTAGCCAAAGTTGATCTTCCCGCCAAAGAAAGAGTACGTTGATTCCAGGCATTCAAACGAGCTTGCATCCGATTTAAGATATAGCCAAATGTATTCTTTGTAACACGGTTATGACGAAGAGGAATACCCAAGTATATACCCAAGTCATTTGTAGGAGAGTATCCCATCAACTGGCTTAAATTCTGCACTCGGGTATGATTAACGTTTCTGGAGAAGAAGACTTTTGTTTTTTCCTTGCTAACCTTCTCACCAGAACACCTGCAAAAACAATCAAGAATCTTATTAATAATAACAGCTTGCCCTTCTGTGGCTTCTGTAAAGAGCAGAAGATCATCTGCAAAAAATAGATGAGAAAGCAGTGGTCCCCTTCTATTCAATCTGATAGGTCTCCAAATGTCCTCCTGAACTGCTACATAATCAAGTGAGCAAGTCTTTCCATGCAAAGAATGAATAGATAAGGAGACAAAGGATCTCCCTGACGAAGACCTTGATTGGGAGAAAATTATGTCGTAGTAGATCCATTCCATAATAAGTTCATTGTACACGACGAGACACAAGACATGATCAGAGAAATAATATTCTCAGGCAAACTAACATCCACAAGCGTGTCTTTCAGGAACTCCCAAGAAATCTTGTCATAAGCCTTTTATAAATCAACTTTGACAGTCATCCAATCCTTATCTCCTCTCTTTTTATTCATGGAATGGATGATTTCCTGAGCCACAATGATATCATCCGCTCCTTGTTTACCCTTAATAAAACCACATTTCCTTATCTTTTTATTCATTGAGAAAGTATATTGCATTAGGAAAAAAGAAAAAAAAAATCACACTTTACCATATTTCTTTGCAACGTGAACAGTAGACCTAAAGAAGCCTCATGGATAATTGTCGGGTAACACTAATTCAATGAATAATATTGCATACTTTTTCAACCATGGTGCATTTCATGTCTTTCTCCTTTTTTTTTCCTAGTTCATGTCAAAGACATGATCAACTTAAATAAAATATAGCAATACACAACACAAGGTGTGTCTTAGTTGACAAACTAAGCTCTATCAGAGTGAAGTTCTTTGAAAACCATGAAAAGCACCTTGTGGTAAAGGCTAAGCCTAAATGTTGGCTGATTTGCACGTTTTAAGCCACCGGCCACAAATGTGCAAATCAATTAGTAATCCATAAACGTGCAAATCAATGAATAAGAATAATGCACGAGTTAGCTCGTTACAATCAAATTGTAAGGAAAAAAGAAAAAAGAAAAAAGAGAAAGAAATGAGCATGGTTACCACACTATTGTTCGTCTTGCTATGTTCAATAGTGCCATAATTTTTCACATTGAAAACCTTTTTTCAAATTGTGCTTCTGCAATCCAAACAAATAAACACAAGAAAAACATATATTTTGCACCCATCTTTACTTTCTTCTCTCAGAGAAAAGAACACTGCAACTACCAACCCTTCCTCCCCTCAGAAGTTGTTTAAGAAATTGTCCAATCTCATTCTAATTTATTTTATTTATAGTGTGGTCTTTTGTTTCATATTAGTTGTTGTAATAACTCAGTAGTAAGAGTAACTGAAATGATATGAGAAGAATTTCAAAAAGGTTGTATCCAGATCTCACTTCCCCAATCTTCTTCCCAATCTCCCTCAATCTTTTTATTGACACATTTCTCTCTCCCTTAGTAAACTTCTTTCTTCCGTAACATTAAGCTGTAAGTTTCGTTTTAGAATATGCTCGAAGAAGAATGTTCTTTTGTTTGGGTATTTTTAAAATACAATGAGATTAATTTAATCTTTTAAATAATGGTCATAATCAGCAATGCCATTCTTTCTTCCCTGTGGAAGTTGTGCCGGAGACATTGTTATCCAAAAAAGATGTTAAAGTCATTTAGAGGGAATACTGTTAAAGAAATCACTTCCACAGTGTATACAGATTCATAAAGTACATATAAGAAATTGAAATATACAATAACTCAAATTAAAGTGTACCGTACGAA